GGTGGCGTGGAAGCCGGGTGGCGTGATAGCCGAGTGGCATGAAAGCCGGGGAAAAGGATTTGATTATTATATAGACTAGGAAAGGACGAAAGAAAAGGGACAGACCCACAACCCACATCATCACATCCGTTGTAGATACTCATATTGGATAGATTCTAGTCAGCGCTGACTAGACAAATGGTTTAACAATTGGCGATAAAAAACGTTTCACGTACGGGTTCGAATCTCGGCTACTCACTGTCCCAAGCACCATTATGTTCTTCTCAGTCAGCGCCTGGCGAGGGGTCCGGCCCCGGAGATTCAAGCCGTAAAACTCCAAAAATGTGATCCAGCCGGGTGCAAACGAGCTGAGCGTATATCTTTTGTCGCCAATTGATAAACCATTTGTCTAGTCATCGATGACTGTGCACGTAGTCAAATGGTCAGCCTTTCTTTACCCAATGAAGGATTCACGCACGGGTTCGAAGCTCAGTGGATCGCTTTCAAGGCACCATTATCGGCTAATAGCAATATCTTGTGGCGAGGGGTCCGTCCCCGGAGATCACTACACCCTATCAGATCCACTGGGATTGGCTACGAGCCGAGAGTGTATCTTACATTGGATAAAGGCAAACCATTTGACTACGTGCACAGTCATCGAAAGGCTGACCATTTGACTACTTGCACAGTCATCTCGATGAATGTGCACGTAGTCAAATGGTCAGCCTTTATCCAATATGAAATCCAGTTCATAGCAACAGTTGCTGTTGAACCCCCAAACTCCCTGCTCCGTCTGCTTAGAAAATTCTTGCGTAAAATAATCTGTCGATGCTGTGAGTACATCCAACAGCCCCCCTACTCGCTGCAGTGGCTTAATTGCTATCACTACTACACACCTGTTCCCGTACCATATACCTGGAAAGAAAAATTAACGTTCGGCATTCCCTCCATCTCATATTGCATTCTTGTCGTAACACTATAAACCCATGAAAAACCAGAAACACTCGTTAGAATTCCCACAGGTTTGAAATCATAGCCACACCCATTAAACCTGAATCACTTCCAAGAGCTTCCATCGGTCCATTTTTGAATCCAACTTCCCAGAACATCAATTCATCAATAAATAAAGCGAAACAACAAAAGAAGAAACAAATGCAAAGAAATCACTGAGACATATCACTTCAAATTCATCACGTAGTCCCTGTGGAACACAAACTCTCTCTCAGATAGGACCTTCGCAAGAAAGTCAGCATGCTGATATTGCGACGCTACGTGGATGATCTCTACCTCCTTCTCATCTACGAGTTGCCTGAGGAAGTGGTGCCGTACATCGATGTGCTTCGAGTTGGAACTCGAGATCGGGTGTTTTGCGATCTGGATAGCACCCTCCTATCCTCATACAGGGGAATGTGTGCGTTGTGTGTTTTCGTCCTATTTATTATGGCGACACAGTCCCAACATTTTTCGTGGTGAGACGTGTACTACACTTTTCAGCGTATGTAGAGTACTACACTTTTCAGTGTATTTTTCGTACAACCACAACCAACTACAACCATCCAGAGTCACACAAGGGAATGCACGGCCGCAACTCCTTCGACAACATGAAACGCCAAACCTGCCTTAAAAACAGAATCTCCTTTCCCATGTCCGTCATTGCAACGTACTCTGCCTGCGTAGTACACAAGGTCACACACTTCTGAGTCTTGGAAAACCATGCGATCGCTCCTCCTGCACACATCACTACTTCCTCTGAAACCGACCTGCGGTCCGCCGCACGCGAGGCGTAGTCTGCGTCGGCGAACGTGATCAAAGAAAATCCCGAAACTGTCCCGCTCTGAAAAGAAATCCCGAAAGAACTAGTCCTCACTGCATATCCTGGGATGCTAATTGCAGCCTTCCAGTGGATCAACTTGGGTGCATTACAGCAGTAGTACCACTGCCCTCACCGCATTCGCGATATCTGGCCTAGTCAACAAGGCAATCCAGAGCAGCGAATCAATCAGCGCACGACACGGGTGTTCTACGTTCGGCTCGTTCACGTCGAAGTCTCAAAGTCTCCAGGTAGTAGGCAAGGGAATGCTCCCCCCTAGACTACTCGACACCATTTTTTTCTCCCAACTCTTCGGTGTATGTCTGCTGCGAAATCGTCAATCTGCCCGCCTCCCTGTCCCTCTCGTAATAGCAACCAGAGTACCATTTCAACTCCCCCAGAGACTTCACCGGCACGTACTCGCCCAGGTCCTTCCCNCCAGAGCAGCGAATCAATCAGCGCACGACACGGGTGTTCTACGTTCGGCTCGTTCACGTCGAAGTCTCAAAGTCTCCAGGTAGTAGGCAAGGGAATGCTCCCCCCTAGACTACTCGACACCATTTTTTTCTCCCAACTCTTCGGTGTATGTCTGCTGCGAAATCGTCAATCTGCCCGCCTCCCTGTCCCTCTCGTAATAGCAACCAGAGTACCATTTCAACTCCCCCAGAGACTTCACCGGCACGTACTCGCCCAGGTCCTTCCCAGACTGATCACACCTTTCCATCTTCCCCACCGCAAAAGTATCGTCTACGTGTACTACTGACCGGTCGCCCCGGTGGTCTAGTGGTATCCTCGTAATCCGCGAGTTAGTTGCAGAGGTCGTGAGTTCGAATCCCCATGGCGTGAAAAATTTACAAAATGTGCGGGTGAAAGCGAAATATAGCTGACAAGCTCTCGTGAGTATCAAACTTCGACGTTAGCACCGTTGACGAGGGAAAGGGACGGCTGGACCCTTCTCGCGATAAAAATAGAATTCAGCACGCACCGCAGGAGGAAGGTGGGGAATGAAGAAATAAAAGGAAGAAAAAAACCCTGGTGTTTACCCCCTCCTGTGTGACCTTGGATGGTTTTAGTTGTTCGAAAAAATACACTGAAAAGTGTAGTACTCTACGTACGCTGAAAAGTGTAGTCATCTACACGTCTCATCACGAAAAATGGGGGGACTGTCGCCATCATAAATAGGATGAAAACACACAACACACACACTACTAGAATCAAAACTACCCCCCCTCCTTCGACTAGACGAAAAACACACGAATCAGCCATGCACTGCTCGAACCCCAAAGCCAAAAGACACTTCTTCAGCAACGCGCACCACTCCCTAGATGCCTGCCTCAAGCCATAAAGACTCTTGGTCAACTTCACAACCTTCCCCGACAACGCACCACATCTTCCGGCAATCGCATGAAAATGTCTTCTTGAGAGGGGCTCTCACAAATGCCTGATCGATATCGAAATGACACAACTCCAAGTCAAGCTCACACGCCAAAGCTGCCAACAAACGAACACTCGACGAAGCTTCAGTAGGGGCATACAAAACATCAAAGTCAATGTACTCCTGCTGCATATATCCTCTTACAACAAGTCTAGCCTTGGCCTTCGTAGGAAAGCCGAATGCATCTACCTTCCAATCAAAAACAACACCGACTTGATGCAATTGTCAATTCGCTGCTACGGTCCGACAACCTTGAAAGCCTCTGCCTCAAGCAGCCCAAACACCTCTCGCTTGGCCGCGTCCATGAACTGCTCGCTGTGATCGCTTCCTTCGCCTCCCTGAATGTCTGGGGTACTCAGAGGTCCTTGGCATGGCAGCGGGGCATGTCCGGGCGCAGGAGACTGGCTCCATCTCGCGGATTGCCGACTCGAGGTCGTCGCGCGTCGCAAGACGCGCCACGAGCCCAAGCGGAACGCCCCGCTTAGAGAGATCGACCGACCAACCACTCCCTACGAGCCCCTCCTTGCCGGTGTTCACATGCGGTAGGCTGCCCTTGCTTTCTCTCACGTCCCCACTCCAAGCGCGCTGCTCGCCCCCGCCCCCCTTCTCGCCGCCCTCCTCCAATTCTGGCCGGAAACTTGGTTTGCCGTCCATCGCTCACCGAGCATCCAGCAAGGAGAGGAGCACGTTTGCGTTGGCTTGAGACAGCAGTCCCATCGTGATCTCGGAAGGAGGGAGAGGCGTAGTGACGGCCTCATCCGGCAGGGGTGAGAGCTGTTGCCGAGCGATGGCGCGGGCCTCCGCCCTCGTGCGTCCTTGCAGCCGAAGGTCTCCGCCCTCGCCTAGCTGCCTTGAGGCGTGGGATGTTAGGGGCGTGGTGTACCCCGGTGCGGTCGGTGGCGGTCTGGTGTTCTTGCTTTAGCGCGGTGGTGGTGCGCGTCCCGGCGGTGATGGTTCCGCCTCGATGGATGAAGACGACCATTCCGGCAGCTGCGACGGCGGTGACAGTGGCGGCGACGGNCCTTGAGGCGTGGGATGTTAGGGGCGTGGTGTACCCCGGTGCGGTCGGTGGCGGTCTGGTGTTCTTGCTTTAGCGCGGTGGTGGTGCGCGTCCCGGCGGTGATGGTTCCGCCTCGATGGATGAAGACGACCATTCCGGCAGCTGCGACGGCGGTGACAGTGGCGGCGACGGGAACGATCCGGCGGCGGCAGCAGCGGCGGCGGGCGGCGGTGGAGCGGCGGATGACGACGATGCGGGCGGCCTCGGGAGCCGCGAAGCGGCGGCACCAGGCGAAGGCGCGGGCCACAACGCTGGCCCCGGAGGCGGCGGCGACGACGACGATCCTGTAGCAGCAGCCGCGGCGGCGGGCGGCGGTGGAGCGGCGATCTCGAAGGGCAGGTGCTGGGGCGTGGGCAGAGTCTCCGCAGAGGGGGTTGATGAAGCATTGCGCCCCCCCCCCCACCCTCCGACGGCGGGAGCGCCGCCCACGCCACATTAAACGAGTAACAGACGTGGGCGGTCCTCTCCTTCAGCACCTTGACCGTGATGTTGGCGTGGTTGTCTCCGGCATTGAGGAAACAACACGGCACGGCCCTGTCGTCCATCTTGGTCGCTGGCCGTTCCCACACGAAACCGTACTGGAAAAACGGAATCAAGCGAAAAGGGCCTTTCTTGCCGGTGTAGAGCTCCTGCGGCAACGCACGCCCTGGGTTGGATAGACATGCAGACTGGTTCAGCTTCTGCGCAGCGTCTTTTGCGGACTCCGCCCAGAGCTCNTAACAGACGTGGGCGGTCCTCTCCTTCAGCACCTTGACCGTGATGTTGGCGTGGTTGTCTCCGGCATTGAGGAAACAACACGGCACGGCCCTGTCGTCCATCTTGGTCGCTGGCCGTTCCCACACGAAACCGTACTGGAAAAACGGAATCAAGCGAAAAGGGCCTTTCTTGCCGGTGTAGAGCTCCTGCGGCAACGCACGCCCTGGGTTGGATAGACATGCAGACTGGTTCAGCTTCTGCGCAGCGTCTTTTGCGGACTCCGCCCAGAGCTCATCGCCCCGTACGCTTCGCCCACGGATGCGTGAAAATCCGGCAGGGCCAAGCAGCTCTTGGGCAGCTCGGCGAGAAGCCTTGGCCACCTTCAGGCACCCCTGGATGGCGCTCTCGACGACGCCGTTGTACTCCTGCACGCCAGGAGGGGAGTACCCGAGCGCGATCCCCATGCCGGCGCAGAACTCCTTGAAGCTACCGCTGGTCCAGAGCGCGTCGCAGTCGCAGCGGATGCACTTGATCGCGGTGCCGGCCTTGTGAGCGGCGTCCACGACCATGCGCTTGAAGACCGCCAGCGCCTCCGACTTCCGCCGCATCGCATAGCAGACCATCCAGCCCGTGGCGGCGTTCACGCCGAAGAGCATGTAGTGGTTGCCGCCGATGGTCGCCGTGTAGCCGCCACAAATGTCGATGTGGAACACGTCGTTTGGCGCCCCCTTGCCGCGGTACCCGCCCCCCTGCTTCGGCACCGGCGCCCTCGTCCCCCGCGCCGGCAAGCACCAACGGCAGCTGTCCATGGTCCCCGTGAGGGTGATCCCGTGTTGCTTTGCGGAAAATTTCAAAACGGGTTCGGACAGATGGCCAGCACGGTTGTGGAACGTGTTAATATCCATGAGCTTTTGTGCATTGCCGACGTTGAAGGGCGTCTTTCCCGGACCCAAAACAGCCATTGCACGCTCACACTTATCACTCTCCCACACATCAATCATCCTAGCAGAGTATTCAGCGGAAACATCCGTCAAACGAGGGGGTTCGTACTCAGAATCCATCAGGCAAGCAAACACGTCGGGGTGGGAANGCTTTTGTGCATTGCCGACGTTGAAGGGCGTCTTTCCCGGACCCAAAACAGCCATTGCACGCTCACACTTATCACTCTCCCACACATCAATCATCCTAGCAGAGTATTCAGCGGAAACATCCGTCAAACGAGGGGGTTCGTACTCAGAATCCATCAGGCAAGCAAACACGTCGGGGTGGGAAGCAGACGGGAACAGACTCCTCATGCAGTCATTGGCCCAGCCTCGACAGGGGTCAACACTCTCGGCTGTAAGAGCCGACGCCACTAAGGAACTCTCACGCGAAACGCTCACAGAAGGCAGAGATTTGTGGAGACGACGGGTTGCAAAAAGGGAATCGCTCGACACGCCACGAATAAAGCGCAGTTTCCCGTGCATGAGTTGAGTGCCGTTGGGGTTTATCCGGACTTCATGTTTGTGAGACACTCTCCATAGCGAAAACAGGTTGAAACCACATCCAGGTACAAAAAGAACTTCAGGCACGGTGATGTCAACGCCTTCTTGTTTCTTGTAGCTCCGATCTGGTGGCATCTCAGGTCTAAACTTTCCACAGCAGCTACCCTAAGCAACGCGGAGTCACCAATCTGAATGTACTACTCATCAGAATCCAAGCGGCGCACGTCGTATATATGGTCCAGACTGTGGGTGATCATTGCGCTCGCTCCTGGGTCAGCTTGCCACTGCTCACTACCGCTAAGTCTAGGCATGTGAGTTTGGCACACGAAAGCTTGGTTGATGATTGGACGCCTATAAGTAACAATAGTACTTCAAGCACACGAGGGGCAGCAGGCATAGACACGCCACCAGACTAAAAAAAAAACAATTCTTCATCACTCTCGGGCATTCCACGCACACAGGGTACAGCAGGCATCGCAGGCATATCCGACTCTGGAACACCGAAATTCTCCTCTTGACTCTTTCACACGTCAGACACACCGGGTGCATCAGTCATGAACACATTAGACGGCGAAAAACCAAACTCCTTATCAAAATCAGATTCAGATTTGATTCGAAGGCACCAACTACGTGCCATGAAGATTGTGTCAGAAGCAGGGGGAGAGCCTGACGAATTACTATGGAAGAGCCGTTGGGGATCACAGAACTGAGTGATCCATGTGCAAACACATTGCCCGAGGCTTTCTGGAAGAATTCGATAAAACCAAAGACCGTGTGCTTTTCCACCCTATGTTGTCGAGGGGTACCATGCAGGAGACGCTGAGGATGGCTGAGCACGAGCGGAGGCACGAGCGGAGAGCTGGAGAGAGGAGGGAGGAGACGAGGCACACCCTCGTCGCTGCCGGCATGGGCCGGGGCGGTGAGCCGAGAAAACCAGCTGCCGGGACGGACCACCGTGGACAGCAGCTGCAACAGCCTCACACGTCGATGCAGCCACAACAGCAGCAATCGTCGCACTTCTGCCAATTCCACGGCCCAAACAGCACCAACGAGACACCCGACAGCCACAAGTTGCGCGGTGACTTCCTCGCCCACTACAACGAGTTCTTCGCGTCCATGAGAGGGCGGGGGGAAGCTCGGGGTCTGCAATGCCTCGAGGCGGAGCGCAAGACTCGGGGCGTATGGCTGGTGGTCCATCAAGACAGGCGCCGTACCACCATCAACAAGGTGCGGGGTGAGGTCAGGGGCACCCTCCTGCGCTACCAGGACCGCCGCGGGGACGAGTAGCAGGGGCTGGATGGCAGCAGCAACTGGGGCGCAACCCTGCGGGGCGTGGCTACGGCGGCTACGGGCCTCAACCTCGCGAAGGCCGTGGGCGACACGGCGGGGGCGCCCACGGCGGTAATCATCCGCCGCCCAACGTTCCTCCCGGGCAGATTGCCAACGTTTCGCGGCCCTATCTTCCGGCTAATTTGGCCATGGGCGGCGGAGATTCTTTCGGCTACGACATCACCTCGGGATGGGAGGCAACACTGGCGCAGGTACCAACACCCAGCTGGACGAGACCACCTCCCGAGGCGGGCTACGGGTACGGGCTTGCGGCTCACGGAGGGGACCATGGGGGAGGTCTCTACGGCGACGCCGGCGGGGGATACGGTTTCGATCATTTTCCCGACGGCGGCGGGCTATTTCATCAGCAGCAGGAGCAGAACCACGCACCACACTACCCTTCTGCTGCAGGCCCTGACGTCTACCAACCGCGAGCTCAATACGAGGCCTTCGACACCTCGACCCATCAGGCTACGTTCCCGCAGCAGCAGCAGCATCAGCAGCAGCAGCAGCATCAGCAGCAGCAGCACAACGGCACACCTCCGGCGGCATCTTCCTCCTCCTCTCCCTCTCCAGCTCCAGGCGACGCTCTACCTCCAGCTAGCTGGCGACGCCCCTCTTCGTCTCTTCATGGTACCCCTCGACAACATAGGGTGGAAAAGCACACGGTCTTTGGTCTTACCGAATTCTTCCAGAAAGCCTCGGGCAGTGTATTTGCACATGGATCACTCAGTTCTGTGATCCCCATACGTCCTCAACCTCATCCACAATGCAACGGCCCTTCCATAGTAGTTCGTCAGACTCTCCCCCTGCTTCTGACACAATACATTCCACTCGTCGTCGAGGTTCTGGCGCTCTTCACTCTTATCGTGGCTGTACTGGTTGAGAAAAACATTACACCTCGCTTGAGGCGACTCAGACGCCAAAATCTGTGCTTGCACTGGTTGGGGTGTGATTTTGCCTAGCATGAAAGTCCACACCTTTCTTGAATTCCTCACTTGCTCTTCTCCATAGTCTAAGTAAGTCCTTGCCAACCAGTTCAGATCCACACCCATACCGCCTACAGGAACCTCTGGACCCCTCATCGTGTCTGATAGTCTCTCATTGCCAAGCCAAGCTTCAAATGCACTCCGAAAGACACGCAACGCCGCTTCTATCGTTCTGCCCTTCAAGAATTCCTCATTCCACACTGGCACATCGACTTTTTCTCTCTGCCGCAACTCTAAAGTCTGTGCGCCCGACGTGCCTGAATGGGCACAAGGCCCCTGATCCTGGGAGGAGGCCG